TGAGAAGATATAATTATCTCAAAAGCGTTAGGTATAGCGGATAATTTGGAAATACCTCTATAGTTTCCGACATCAGATTTCCTCCCTGTCTTATGGGGAGGCATAATGTATGATTCCTTCCAAATGGTCGGAAAAGAATAATTGTTTTCGGACAATTCAAAAAGTTTTAAAACAGGTTTACATAATGCTGCAGCGCAATATCTAAGCACGCAAGCAGGAACACCATCAGGGGCCGGTGAGTAAACCGGCTTGATAGTGTTATGTCGGTAATAAGCGAACTTTCGGCAATAATGGGATATAAGATGCAGTTTGACCTATGTAACTGATAAGGATAAGGCTGATTTTTATTTTATAATTAGAGGAACAGTATCTAGCTTGAAAAAATAACGGCTATGCCTGGATCAGTGTTCGCGCTCTCATCTGCAAACTTAAGCCAAGAAAGCAAGAAAATGTCTTTCGATTATAATTGACATGGTTAAAAAATTGGGATTATGTCAAGATTGAGGGCGACAACGCCGAAGGTAATCCTTAATTTTGAGTGTAAAAATTCGAACGGGCAACTGCATAACGGAAGAAATCTGAATGATTTCCCGATTTATAAAGCTTTTATAACACCTCGACTTCACGTTTTTGAACCTCATAAGTTCATTTGAGAACCAGGGAGGCCTATCAGACCTCGCTGGGTAATCAAGAGGAACGCAGACTTCAAAAATCGAGTACAAGGTATCATAAATAAGTTTAATGGCAACAGCAATATCTGAACAATTGTACAGTTGGGACCAGTCGACTTGCAGAATAAGATAATTTAGCTGATGAAAATCAGCCTTTCGGAAACAACGTGTACGTTCAGCTAATTCCGATTCCTTGATAAGGACTCGGGCTGGTAAATCAATTCTATTTCCAAATATGGATGAAAAGGGTCTTCAGGAAATGTAAGCGGATCAATCCTGTGCACAACACTGTTGAACGAATCCAACACAAAAATTACAACAAGGGATATGTTTCTTCACAATTAACCTGCCGTTAGGACATTTCATGTAGACCATCAATAAATTCGTTTGCTGAAGATGGCAACAGAAAGCTTGAGTCTGATGGCGGTGACCACTCGACATCTGGAAGATTTAAGTCCCCAAGAACTACTTAAAGATCGCTACCAGAAAGTAGAGAGGAGATAGATTTAATAGCATTTAGATGAGTTTGATAGCTGGATAAGTTAGATAGAGGGGGTATATAAGAACATGAAATAAAGATAGAAAAACTTTAAGATGCAACTCTTATAGCCACCAACTCAATCTCTGAAACGGAAAGATCAATGCGTTCCGACGAAAGAGCAGACTCAACCGCTATGAGTACTCCTGCTCCGATTCGGGAAGCTCCATCATACCCGTAAGTGGTGTATTTGGAGGTAAAATTGAAGGGTCAGATGTCCGGCTTCAGCCAGGTCTTAGTGAAATCGCCTTCAAATTATCGTTTGATAATTAAAAGCTAATGAGCCAGATACAGATTAGCGAGCTAACATTTAAGACCTCTAACATTCAGGTAGGCAAGCTCGAAAGAAGAAATTAGTTTTTGACGGAGCAACTAAAGTTGTTGCGCCATCGAAAATAGGTAGTAATAATAGCGGAGTAACATTCTTCTTTTTGACCTTATATTCTTTTATTATAAAGTTCTCCGGACAAAACTCATTACAACAATTATCAGTAAATACTTCTGGCGGAACACTTATTTTAAAGGACGCAATATCCCTTTTTGCCTGTATAAAGACTTTTACAGCATCTGATGGAAGTAAGGTGCAAGCCTAGAATTCAAAATATTTCTCTTCGGTGGACAGTGGGTACACTATTAACTGTGGTACCTAAAACAGGGGTAGTACGGACGAGGAGTCTTCTAGCGGCTTATAAAATTAATTGTGTTGTCGCTCTTTCGGAACTGGTTTTTCTAGTGCCGATGTCACACTTTTTGAGACAGAATCTGTGTTTACAGCAGACTTTACAGCTACTGGAGTAATTTGTGTAGTAGGTTGCTGAATTGCAGTTGGAAGCTGAAGGGTGTTAGGCAACGTCAAATCACGACGAGTGGGCTTTTTGGGCCCAAGAGACTCATCCAACAGTTTAAGGCTATTAAATTGGGTATCCAGGGCAGTGAGCTGATCGTTAAGTTTACGAAAACCAACAATCAGACCCCCAAAGCCACATATTATAATTAAGCCAACAAGGTGTGCTGGATTGACTTACTGTAATTTGCATTTGGAAAGTTTTTTTAAAGCAGACAATTTTATGGTCCATTGTAATGGGTCTCTACTGTAATAACGCAGCCAAATGTAGAAAGTGAGTTATTTAGAATAGAGAGCACTAACAAGTGGCAGTAAGTAGAAAAAAATCAAAGCGCAAGTTGAAAAAAGGTGAGAGAGCATGAGTTAAACATAAACAGCAAACAACAACAAGCAGCTTATCAACAGCTAATGGCGCAAACGCACAAAAAATATGCACAATAACGCAAGTTTAAAAGAAACACTATTTCAATAATAAAAATGCAAAGGCCACAACCATGCACTCGCGATAATTAAAACAAGAATGAAAGGCTATCTTCGGCACGCCGAAGATCTAATACCCTTGCAGACCCAATTTTTCATACAGCTTATAATGTCTTGCCTGTATCTAAAAAGCACAGGGAAAATAGTTAATGCCGAGTTAGGGCAAGATATCTTGATAAGCAGAAAGGGTTTTTAATCAAAAACCTGGTTTCCGACCCACGGCAAATATATGATATAGTAGTCCGATGTAAATAAGATTATGCAAAAATGAAGGGAGCTTACTGAAATCTTTAAATGCCGTCTTTATTCAAAATATCTTGAATTACAAAAAATTTTTCCACACAACAACTTAAGGACTTCTGCAAAGTTTCATTAAGATAGCTCTAAAACTGAGAGACTAGTTCGCATAAAAGTAGACAGACAGACAGACGGTCAGACGGACATGGCTATATCGACATGGCTGTTGATGCTGATCAGGAATATATCTACTTTAAGGGGTCGGAGATGTCTCCTTCTATGCGTTACACATTTCACAAATTTCTTGAAGCTATGAATTACATTTTCTTCTTTAAATTGGACGGGAATGAAATTATCCTTTTATTAACTTTATAACCACCAAATGAAACCTGCACTAAGCGACAAAGACAATTAAAAGAAAGAGTAATTTCTCACTGTCAGTGTCGAGCCCAGAATTGTCGTTAACCATAGCCATAGACCTCACAACCTCACCAAAAATGGAGTTATATTGAAAAAAAAAAAGACATAAAATAGCAGTACATATACAGAACACAGCATTCATTACAATCGCAATTGCAATTATATTTAAAGAATTCACGAACGACTCACATATATATGTATGTGGGAAATTGTTGTGCCTTGCGCTTGTTTCCAAAATGACCACATGTTTTCTTTACTATCTACTGGTAAACTTAGCCAATCTTATTGAATATTTCTGAAGTATATTAATATGCTTAAGAGTACTTATACTCTGTATTCGCAAAAAGTAAACATCATTTAAATTGTGGATTGAATTGGTAGCTAGTTCCAATTGATTTATTTATTTGATTTTTGTATTGTTGGGTCGGGAAGGGGCTAGTGGTAGCCTAAAATGAAAAATGCTTAATCTATGTAATTTGTTTGTAAAGCTGCATATTAAAAGTGATGATTCTGGCTCCTAAAACATATGAGGTTTGATCAATGCTTAGCACGATTAGATACGCATTTCAAATGGATAAAAAGGGTTAATATATTTGTGAAAATGTATGCAACAGGCAGAAGGAAGCACCTCAGACCCAATAAAGTTTATATAATTTGTGTGTCCGCTCGTCCATCGGTATGAATGAACGCAAGAATCTCAGAGCCTATAAGAACTAGAGACTTGGAATTTGGATGTAGTGACCGCGCAGAACTAGTATGTTTCCGATAACCAATAGCTTGCCCCGCTTACAAGAAATCGATAAATTTCGTAAGTTTAAAAAACAAAAGTTACTAAATTTGTTATGTAGCCTCTTGATTAGTTGATAAATATCAAATAACTTTAATTTTATTGCTATCGGCAAAACTATAGCTATAAATAAAAAAAAACAATTGGATCTACGTACCAAGTTAACCCACAATCTTAAGGCTATTGACCTATTGAACATATTCGATTATTTTATAGCAAAATAAAATCTTCTGTTGAAAATTTGTTCAACATCGGTTAAAGAAAACGTGGTTTAGCTTTTAGTTATTTCGAATACACATTCGTGCACGTCTTAATTTAATTCTATTAAGACCATTGCAATTGCGATTGTATTGTTTCCGTGCTGTGTTAATTGTTGCTTTTATAATTCGTTTTTGTCCACCAAAAGTATTGCGACTATTGCGGTCAGTACGGAATCGAGTCCTATTGGAAATAGTTTTTTATTTTTAGTTTTTCATTTATTTTTATATTTTTTAAATTATTTTAAAACTTATTAAAAAAGGTAGTAGCGACAACTGCATTTGGTGTGGGTTAAAAAGAGATCAGAGTATCCCCTAGTCCGGAGCTCCCGTGTAGAGCCTCTTACTTGTTTTCCATTGGAAAAGTGGAAGAAAGTTTCGATTTCAATGGCTAACAAAATTTCCAATCTGTATGTCTGTCATGTTTTCTAGAGGCACATTGTGAACATAATGATTTCCTAAAGTATCTGATCCTCGATTTGGTCAGCCGTTATCCCGGAGGCATACAAAGTAATACTAGCCTGCATAACCACCTTGCAATCCAGATAACAAGGTCATAACTTTCACTGAGCTCTTATTTATTGATATATTCAAACAGTTGGTTCATCTATTAATTTATGAGCTTCTTTCATGGTATTAACATTGGTAATGGGGATGGAGGGTTTCTTGATGCATTGTGGAGCAATACTATTCGACTATCCTTGCTACTGTCAACCAAAAAAAAAAAAATATATATATATACTTTGGGTTATAAGTATCACAAGTTCTTAATTCTTATTCGCAGAAGTCATTCCAAATAGAAGGCTCATCCTTCATCGGTTCCGTTGATGTTTCGCTCCTTTAATCGCGATGCTAACGCTTTAATAGAGCTCTAATCCAATACCAAATCATTAAATTCTCCCTTAGTACGTTCATCTTCTCCTGAAAAATGAGAAACTGTAGTCGTATTTTTGGTTGCTGAAGTTGATTTAATATATATAAGTAGTCTCAAGATTAGAGATTTAGGAAAGCTGAAAGCCGCTGGTCGTTAGTCGCGGACAACATTAATTTTTTTAAAGATCGAAAGTAAGAGTTTGAAACGATGGAAAACATTTCTTACCCTTTTTATTATAAACGTTTATTAGATTGTCTCGTGTGATATTTCGTCAAGCTTGGTTGGGCCATGAGGCTTTATCGTGGAAAAATATGAAAAGACTGCATCGTCTCCTCGTCACCTTCGTGCCCATCTCTCAAGCAAGTGATTGTATTCGTTGGCCCCGTCAGTGGCTTCATTCTCGCAGTGGCCATCAGGTGTTGGCTTGGGGTAGCAAACACGAGTATGTCATACAGAGTGGGGATGTCTGCCGTGTACAAATTGTAGAGAAAGGTGCCTAATACGTTTCCTTAAGGGACACCCACCTTCATTTTGAGAACAGGGGAGATTGCTGCCCTAACTATGATGCATGCTTAGACAGCAAGGGGAGTAAGTAATACATATGATTTGTGTAGTAGAACGGCATCGCTGTCTTTTTCTCGCTCCCACTACAGGAAGCTGCTTTGGCTTACTTTCATACTTATGATTTGTGCAATAGAAAGGCATCGCCATTTTTTATTTCGACCCCACTTCAGGAAACTGCATTGTCTTACTCTCAGTGCTACTTCATTATGTATGTGTGTGTATGTTTCCGCACGAGCAACAATACACACAAATTCAATTTTTTATCTAATGTCGGAATCATTTCTGCCCTTTTGAAGGGACGAGTTATATGAAATAATGAAGGGTTGTGCCATGTCGTTGCGAAGTTCTTGTATTTATGCTCGGTATCGATAGTAAGGGTACCTGAGCGTTGGAATGTGTGCATTTAATATTCCTTGGACCTGCTATTCCAGCACACACACTTATTTTGTTTATGAATAGAAACATTTATACATATGTACCTGTTACCTGACTTCGACAAGATATGAAGTTTTTGGGGTTTCTGAATTTCGAGCTCTAAACAGAGACACACACACGAAATGGTGTGAATGAACAGTTCATAGGTGCAACATAAAATTTAATTATGTTCGTGTTCATTACCTCGGGCTGGAATTGAACAGTGAATGAAAAAGCTTATTAATATAAGGCAATAAAATTATTAATACTATAATTATATACTATAAAATAGATATAATTTGAATTCTATCATTGTAATTCCCATTGTATTGTTTTCTGTGCTGCCATTTAAATTCGTTTTTTCTCACTGAAATTCAACTTTTGGTGTGGCTTTTGAGTAGAGGCGGTGGCATGTGGTGCGGTCTGTCGCGAGCTCGAGCCCAACCGGAGAAACTTTTTTTTTTGGCTGGTGAGTCGTCAGCAAGCAATGTAACATTTTTTTATATTATCCTTTTTAATACAAACGAGCGCGTAGCGCGAGCTGCATTTGGTGTTGGAATAAGAGAGTTCAGAGTATCCCCTAAACGGGATCTTCCGACTAGAACCTCTTACTTGTTTTTGTTTGGTATATTTGAATATTTTAAAGGTTTTAATTTTTGCATAAAGACCCGCTACTCATAAAATCATTTAAGTGATCAGTCAGTTAACCTACATATACAAGTGTACGGGCTTGCCAAACATTTACCCTTTGGGCCCAACGGGTTGCTGCAGGTTATAAGGAGTCAATATTCATTCAGCAATCAAAAGTCGCGTGCACTGGTCCTTTTCGCAGGCTATAGCTGGGGCGTTGTTCTCTTTGCTGAATGCAGCTAGTCCCCTTCTGGTGGCAGCGGCTGTTAGGGCTACCGCATTATATATTCAGCGAAGCACTCGCAGTCCTTATAGTTGGCAGGGTGGTTACCATCACAGTGGGCGCATGTTGCCGAAACTTCATTGAGCCGTGCGTAATCAGCAGTTCGATGATCCAGCTTACATTTAACGCATTTGTGTTTTTTCCCACAGTATGTGGCCGTATGCCCGTACTCCTGAGATCTATGGCATTGCACCACATCCCGGCTTCGAGTAGTCTCGAACTTGACCACCTGCTGCACAGCTTCCTGATGGTAAGAGCCCCCTTGCTGTTAGCCGCCGACAGCAAGTTAAAAAAGTGAATATTCATGGGCCCCTTGGTGACTTTGCTGTTCGGATAGTGTACGTAGAGAACGGTATGACCCTGGCTCTGCAGGTGATGAGCCCTCGGTGTGGAGTGGTCCACCACAGGCCTCCGTGGTTACTATGCGATAGGGCTTATCCTCCTGCAGCTGATATAAGTATAACTTAATTTTTTATTCTTCCAGTTTCTGTACGATGTCCCTGTAGGTGGGCACATTATTGGCTAGGAGCCACATAGTCCTACCCAAGTTGGACGTCGTCTATTCTAATCAGCACGATGTGGGGGCATTGTTCTTTGCATTTTTCGGTTTCCTTCTAGAGATGAAATGGGCTGCTCAGCCACTGATTCGATAGTCCTATGTCTTCGGCCTTATGGGGTGGTGCCAAGAAAGCATATCTGTTGGAAGCATATCTGCGAAATGGATTAAAAGAAAGTTGTACGATATCAACTATATACATTTGAGCGTCAATGGGGTCTGGACCTGCCATAGCAGCAGCATATGGGTTGCTGCCGGGGTCTTGGGCATCTATTAGAGGGTAAGAAGGTGAAACTGAAGTACCTCATTGAAGCCCCCTCAGTCAGTATTTAATTGGCCTACCTCTTAAGTTCGAGACGGCCCCTTATTACTTATTGTGGGTGCATTGCTATCAGCACTCACTGGCATGGTTGTTCTATTGCCATTGCTGCTGGTTGGGTGTATGTTAGCACGGCATCGCAGACGACTTTTTTATTTGTGGCCACCTTAGTATTCAATTTGATTTCTTTTTCAATTCGCAATACATGGTGCTTTGCATTCCTTGTGCGGAATTGCAAAAGCTGCATTTGGCCGTTTGACTGCGCACTCGAAATTTTGATTTCTTCAGCGTGTCCGTTTGGCTTAAACACGAAAAAGTGACTTCATTTTGTATGTGATTTTTTCCATATCATTGATTTTGAAATTGAAAATTGAATTGAAAAGCATGCATAACCGAAATGAACTGATTTCATACTGACATAAAGATCAGAAGTTATTAGAAAAAAGTACCCAGTTTTTTCCATTTTGTGAGAACGACCATTGACTTCGTTTTTGCTCAGTTCCATAACTCCCTCTCGCTCTTAGAGAGCAAGACAGTTTGTTATGTTCTGTTTAACAAAGGCACAAAGAAATAATGAAAGGTCTAGCATGCAATCTACAAAGAAATGCTGTGCTGAGGGTATTAGATAATTTTCGACAGTGAATAATGACCATGAGATGTTCGACAATTAAAATCACATAACACTATACATAGGTCATTATCACACATATAGTTAACTGAGACAATGTCAGCGTCAGTAGGCATACTAAAACAGAAAAGTTCTGCCTGTAGAGTGGCCTTAACGGTAATTAATACCACACCACCTAAAGTTGGCCGACAATTTCTATGCAAAAAATGTATTCGAATAAACTTCGAAATTAGATATGATTGAATTTAACCATGTTTCTGAAAATGCGATTATATTCGGATCAAAGGGAGTACTGGCAATGAAAAGGTTTTAAAGCTTTGAAATGAGACCTCTAACATTTTGATAATAAATAAAGGTTTGGTCAGAAGATGAAGTTAGTTTTTTGGGGTAGAAATGGTACCCTGCATTGAAGAAACTGGAAGTGCTGATGCCTCTGACACGATAATGAAGGGATAATGAGCAGTAACGGTACCCGGTATCGAGGGAATTGGGAGGATGATGCTCGGCATCATCTAGCAGTGTCCGTCTATTCGTATGTATAAACACGTCTATCTCAGAACCTTTTAGGGCAAAATACTTGACTTTTGTGCAGTTTGAACCTGATAATGAATATTGATATTGATATCGATAATAAGCCAATCTGTAACTTTTCAGAAGCTAGAGTCACCAAACTTGACATGTAGTTTCTAGAATAGTATATAAAGATCAAATATCTTCCTCTTCTTGTTTCTTCTTATTATTTTGTCAATGTCATGCATTCTAAAAGCATAGGTTGCACTAGCCTAATGGGGGTTGCTATTACCTAACGAAATGGTTTTCAATATAGTTATGACTCGTGTATGGAGATTATTGGTGAAAGGCTTAGCGGCAGACCAGGTCGGAGTTTAGGCATCTGATTATTGGTTTTCGCAAACTAAATAACCAGCCCACAGCCCCGAATAACTAATTCAATAACCTGAAGCTAAGTCTTCAGGGCCTATCAGAGGGATATTTTATCCTTCTAAATATATGCAGCTAGAAATATTTACAAACATCTGTAGGTCAGAGTTTTGGCATTTACACCCTTGATAGCTTACGGTTTGAGCCTATCACCAGTAATGAACTTAATAATCTACATCACATTCTAAATCATAAACTTAAGTTCGAGTCTCATGTTACAACCGTGGTCAATAAGGCCAGAAAGAATAATCGGAATCGGATTTTATTACGACCTATATCTTTCGGCGCTAAGTCTTTAGTTGTTGCTTAAAAAAACTAAATTCTTCTTCATTGAACTTCGAGCTGGCGGCTAACATAACTGTATCTGGAAATTTCTGTATATATATTTGTTCCTATGTTTCCCCACTACCCAACATATCCATTTACTAAAGCCACCTTAATACTATTAAAGCTATCTCCTTCCTACTTTCTGATAAGGACCTCTTAGCCTTTCTTGGCCACTTTAATCCCCACGATGTTGAGTGGTGATCGCCAATCGATTCAAACTTTCTGTTGCCCTCTATATCAAATGAGTTTATTGATGGCCTACATAAGATTGCCTCACGGCAGTTTTAGTGGGCGCTTAATTTAAGAAATGGATCTCTCGATTTCGCCTTCGTGTTGGGTCCGTTTGACAGTGTTGTGCACAAGATTGACCCACTTACCCTTCCTGAAGATCCCTTTCAGCCAACTTAGTCCCAACTACAGACATTGATGTTGCCATTAAACTATTTTATGATAGCTCGCACTCGCTGTTTGACATCTGCGTCGCTCTTTGTCATCTAGTGAGGTCTGGTAGGTCTCCCTCAAGAGAACTATTGATATTGTAATATGTGAAGTAGAAGGTAATTAAAAACTTAATAAATCGGGAAAAACTCTAATTCCTTCAGTAATGCAGCTAAAATACTGATCCAGGAACTGTTGAGCTGTTCGCAAACTTTTTTTAAACTACCTACTTCTCATCAGTTCCAAAAGTCATATACATCTTATATCCTTTTAGTACTGAAAGTTCGCGACTCGGCGGCCTTAACACAATCAAGCCTATCGGACCCTGATGGTGTTTCCGCTTGTGTGCTCAGGTACTGTGCTGCAGAATTTGAATATTTTAAAGGTTTTAATTTTTGCATAAAGACCCGCTACTCATAAAATCATTTAAGTGATCAGTCAGTTAACCTACATATGCAAGTGTACGGGCTTGCCAAACATTTACCCTTTGGGCCTAACGGGTTGCTGCAGGTTATAAGGAGTCAATATTCATTCAGCAATCAAAAGTCGCGTGCACTGGTCCTTTTCGCAGGCTATAGCTGGGGCGTTGTTCTCTTTGCTGAATGCAGCTAGTCCCCTTCTGGTGGCAGCGGCTGTTAGGGCTATCGCATTATATATTCAGCGAAGCACTCGCAGTCCTTATAGTTGGCAGGGTGGTTACCATCACAGTGGGCGCATGTTGCCGAAACTTCATTGAGCCGTGCGCAATCAGCAGTTCGATGATCCAGCTTACATTTAACGCATTTGTGTTTTTTCCCACAGTATGTGGCCGTATGCCCGTACTCCTGAGATCTATGGCATTGCACCACATCCCGGCTTCGAGTAGTCTCGAACTTGACCACCTGCTGCACAGCTTCCTGATGGTAAGAGCCCCCTTGCTGTTAGCCGCCGACAGCAAGTTAAAAAAGTGAATATTCATGGGCCCCTTGGTGACTGCTGTTCGGATAGTGTACGTAGAGAACGGTATGACCCTGGCTCTGCAGGTGATGAACCCTCGGTGTGGAGTGGTCCACCACAGGCCTCCGTGGTTACTATGCGATAGGGCTTATCCTCCTGCAGCTGATATAAGTATAACTTAATTTTTTATTCTTCCAGTTTCTGTACGATGTCCCTGTAGGTGGGCACATTATTGGCTAGGAGCCACATAGTCCTACCCAAGTTGGACGTCGTCTATTCTAATCAGCACGATGTGGGGGCATTGTTCTTTGCATTTTTCGGTTTCCTTCTAGAGATGAAATGGGCTGCTCAGCCACTGATTCGATAGTCCTATGTCTTCGGCCTTATGGGGTGGTGCCAAGAAAGCATATCTGTTGGAAGCATATCTGCGAAATGGATTAAAAGAAAGTTGTACGATATCAACTATATACATTTGAGCGTCAATGGGGTCTGGACCTGCCATAGCAGCAGCATATGGGTTGCTGCCGGGGTCTTGGGCATCTATTAGAGGGTAAGAAGGTGAAACTGAAGTACCTCATTGAAGCCCCCTCAGTCAGTATTTAATTGGCCTACCTCTAAAGTTCGAGACGGCCCCTTATTACTTATTGTGGGTGCATTGCTATCAGCACTCACTGGCATGGTTGTTCTATTGCCATTGCTGCTGGTTGGGTGTATGTCAGCACGGCATCGCAGACGACTTTTTTATTTGTGGCCACCTTAGTATTCAATTTGATTTCTTTTTCAATTCGCAATACATGGTGCTTTGCATTCCTTGTGCGGAATTGCAAAAGCTGCATTTGGCCGTTTGACTGCGCACTCGAAATTTTGATTTCTTCAGCGTATCCGTTTGGCTTAAACACGAAAAAGTGACTTCATTTTGTATGTGATTTTTTCCATATCATTGATTTTGAAATTGAAAATTGAATTGAAAAGCATGCATAACCGAAATTAACTGATTTCATACTGACATAAAGATCAGAAGTTATTAGAAAAAAGTACCCAGTTTTTTCCATTTTGTGAGAACGACCATTGACTTCGTTTTTGCTCAGTTCCATAACTCCCTCTCGCTCTTAGAGAGCAAGACAGTTTGTTATGTTCTGTTTAACAAAGGCACAAAGAAATAATGAAAGGTCTAGCATGCAATCTACAAAGAAATGCTGTGCTGAGGGTATTAGATAATTTTCGACAGTGAATAATGACCATGAGATGTTCGACAATTAAAATCACATAACACTATACATAGGTCATTATCACACATATAGTTAACTGAGACAATGTCAGCGTCAGTAGGCATACTAAAACAGAAAAGTTCTGCCTGTAGAGTGGCCTTAACGGTAATTAATACCACACCACCTAAAGTTGGCCGACAATTTCTATGCAAAAAATGTATTCGAATAAACTTCGAAATTAGATATGATTGAATTTAACCATGTTTCTGAAAATGCGATTATATTCGGATCAAAGGGAGTACTGGCAATGAAAAGGTTTTAAAGCTTTGAAATGAGACCTCTAACATTTTGATAATGAATAAAGGTTTGGTCAGAAGATGAAGTTAGTTTTTTGGGGTAGAAATGGTACCCTGCATTGAAGAAACTGGAAGTGCTGATGCCTCTGACACGATAATGAAGGGATAATGAGCAGTAACGGTACCCGGTATCGAGGGAATTGGGAGGATGATGCTCGGCATCATCTAGCAGTGTCCGTCTATTCGTATGTATAAACACGTCTTTCTCAGAACCTTTTAGGGCAAAATACTTGACTTGATATTGATATCGATAATAAGCCAATCTGTAACTTTTCAGAAGCTAGAGTCACCAAACTTGACATGTAGTTTCTAGAATAGTATATAAAGATCAAATATCTTCCTCTTCTTGTTTCTTCTTATTATTTTGTCAATGTCGTGCATTCTAAAAGCATAGGTTGCACTAGCCTAATGGGGGATGCTATTACCTAACGAAATGGTTTTCAATATAGTTGTGACTCGTGTATGGAGATTATTGGTGAAAGGCTTAGCGGCAGACCAGGCCGGAGTTTAGGCAACTGATTATTGGTTTTCGCAAAGTAAATAACCAGCCCACAGCCTCGAATAACTAATTCAATAACCTGAAGCTAAGTCTCCAGGGCCTATCAGAGGGATATTGTATCCTTCTAAATATATGCAGCTAGAAATATTTACAAACATCTGTAGGTCAGAGTTTTGGCATTTACACCCTTGATAGCTTACGGTTTGAGCCTATCACCAGTAATGAACTTAATAATCTACGTCACATTCTAAATCATAAACTTAAGTTCGAGTCTCATGTTACAACCGTGGTCAATAAGGCCAGAAAGAATAATCGGAATCGGATTTTATTACGACCTATATCTTTCGGCGCTAAGTCTTTAGTTGTTGCTTAAAAAAACTAAATTCTTCTTCATTGAACTTCGAGCTGGCGGCTAACATAACTGTATCTGTAAATTTCTGTATATACATTTGTTCCTATATTTCCCCACTACCCAACATATCCATTTACTAAAGCCACCTTAATACTATTAAATCTATCTCCTTCCTACTTTCTGATAAGGACCTCTTAGCCCTTCTTGGCCACTTTAATCCCCACGATGTTGAGTGGTCATCGCCAATCGATTCAAACTTTCTGTTGCCCTCTATATCAAATGAGTTTATTGATGGCCTACATACGATTGACTCACGGCAGTTTTAGTGGGCGCTTAATTTAAGAAATGGATCTCTCGATTTCGCCTTCGTGTTGGGTCCGTTTGACAGTGTTGTGCACAAGATTGACCCACTTACCCTTCCTGAAGATCCCTTTCAGCCAACTTAGTCCCAACTACAGACATTGATGTTGCCATTAAACTATTTTATGATAGCTCGCACTCGCTGTTTGACATCTGCGTCGCTCTTTGTCATCTAGTGAGGTCTGGTAGGCCTCCCTCAAGAGAACTATTGATATTGTAATATGTGAAGTAGAAGGTAATTAAAAACTTAATAAATCGGGAAAAACTCTAATTCCTTCAGTAATGCAGCGGTTAAATCAAACTTTTATACGCGAAATTTCAAATACTTAAGAATTACGTTCGCCTTCAGTTCGCACATAATTCAATGTATGTTCATTTTAATCGTAAGACATCTATTTGCCATATTCGGTGAGTTTAAAGATGAGAGCTAAAATACTGATCCAGGAACTGTTGAGCTGTTCTTTTAAACTACCTACTTCTCATCAGTTCCAAAAGTCATATACATCTTATATCCTTTTAGTACTGAAAGTTCGCGACTCGGTGGCCTTAACACAATCAAGCCTATCGGACCCTGATGGTGTTTCCGCTTGTGTGCTCAGGTACTGTGCTGCAGCGTTATTTAAACCGATTTTAAAACTATTTGTGTTGTCTGTAAATATCCCTTTTTATAATACAAGAGTTCATCCGAGGTCGATAATTACAGAAGTATATCCAAATTATCCGCTATATTGAAGCCCTATTATGGGATTTTGAATCATAGATTGACAACTACTAGCCCTCTTGAGTTTACTCAGTAAGAATTTCGACTCATTTAATCCCTCCCTACTGCGTCCGAAGACATGCTTTCTTGGCTATTTGCGTAACAGAAGACAAAGAATCTTTTTAGAAATACGTTTTCTTAATGTATTCAGGTGACTTCTGGAGTATCTCAAGGTAGTCATTTAGGTCGGCTACTCTCCCTTCCTGTCATGAATGACTTTCCCTTGATACTGTCTCAATCTTTAGGATTAATTTATGCTGATGAATTGATTTATTCCTTGCATACGAAAATATGATATCAAGTAATCTTTTAAGACGAAAATGATGCCATTAATGCCTGTTAAATTTAATAACTTAATTTAGAAGTTTTTCGTTTCACCAAGTGTGTTCAAAGGAGGTTTACAATCCGTACACGAAAAAACCCTTTTATATATCTTTGGTATGCATTACGTACAGAATTGAATCTGTACAGAGTTAATTCTTGTTGTTTGCCCTTCTTGGTTTTAATTGGGATCCTTGTTTGCGGTTACTGTCATACTCCAGTAGACTTCTTAATCCGTGGGCTATACCTCGTTTCTGTTTTCCAGCTTATCTCTAGCTTGATCTAATTTCTTTAATAGGGCCATAATAAACTTGTGTAGGCATTCGTCTCTTTAATAATAGGGTTAGGGATTCAGCTAATGCCATTATATATTAATAGTAGTCGGTAAGTGTATGACATCTTGCAATGTCTTATGAGCGTGAATCAGTCAGCTTCGATCCAAAATGTATTTTCTACTTGTTATTGTACTACTTTCGTATAGATGTTAATGTAGTATCCGTTAACAATGGTCCGTCTGAAAAATGTAATTACAATGATTATGTCTCATATTTTTTTTTATTTTAGGTTTGTGAAGTTGTTATACTCTAAGGGTAATTAAGGAGGTCTGTTGTCTTGTACTAAGTGCTAGACAAAACTAGGCGTTTATTTATTTATTTTGTGTTCATTCCTAAACAATTTATCCAATTTTTAAATTTATCCAATTTTAAAATTACCTATCTATTCCTCTATGATTACTAATAGTGTGGTTGTTATTAGTTATTAAGCACTGAATTCATTGAAAATGGGTAAAAAGTGTATTATGTATTTGTTAAAATTTATATAATAGGCAGAAGAATGTTGTTCCGACCCCATGAATTATATATATATTCTTGATCACCATTAACAGCTGAGTCGATCTAGCCATGCCCGTCTGTCCGTCCTGACTTGTATTGCCTACCACTTTAAGCCATCATTGTAATGCAATTAATTTTTTGAATATACTTAAATATTCTATGGTATAATATAATAAAAAACTGTACTGTAGAAAATTTCATCAAGATAGGTAAATAAACAACAAAGTTATAAATGAAAATGTGCTTTGGCTGGCTAGCCAGCTTGGTTCTTGTAATATATTCTTCTGAGTTTAAGTAGGTGGTATCGATACTTTCCTTTTAGTTTCTTATTCCCCGGACGATGTTGCGTTAAGTTCTACTTAATCGTGTTACTATAACTGTTTTAAACTGTATAAAATAACTGTATAAATATCTTTCGAAATGACCTATTTTCCTTTAAATGCATTTTGTTGTGCCCGTTGGTGTCTCTAACTGACTAACAGCTTAGTTAGATTCAGCTCTAAATTGTTTGAAGATATCAATACCATAAAATGGCAACAAATGTTTTTTTTTTTTATACCCTGAACCCATTAATGGATAAAAAGAGTATAATGTATTTGTGTAAATTTATGCAAAAGGCAGAAGCAAGCACCTCAGACCCAATAAAGTATATAAAGTATATATTGCCAACCAATTTAAGCCAGAATTTAAATGCAATTGACTTTTTCAGAATATACAAATATTCTATGGTACAATAAGATATACTGTAGAAAATTTCATAGAGATCGGTTAAGAAAAAGCCAAAGTTATGTGCAACTGCGCAATTGAATCGGGGCAGCCGCTTTAAGAATTTCTGTGTACATGTACAAACACACATTCATGCGCGTCTGCTTCGCATTCTAACAGCATGGTAATTGCGACTTTTTCTGTATTTTTAGTTCCTTTTTATCATAAGTACTTAATTATTGGTGTGGCTGCTGAGTAGAGGCATAGCAGGTGGTGCGGTCTGACGCGAGTTAGAGCCCTACCGGGGAAAGTATTTTTTCTTTATATACCCTGAACCCATTAAAAATGGCTATAAGGGTATATTCTATTTGTGCAAAATCCAAATTTATGTAACAGGCAGAAGAAAGGTTCTCCGAGCCCATAAAGTATATATATTCTTGATCAGCATCAATAGCCTAGTCAATCTAGCCATGTCCGTCTGTCTGTCTGTCCGTCTGTTCATCTGACCGTCCGTCCGTCTTCCCGTCTGTCCGTATGCATGAACGCAAGGATCTCAGAACCTATTAGAGCTAGAGCCTTGAAATTTTAGAAGTAGGTGCACCTAGTGCCTGCGCAGATCGTTTGTTTCCTATAATCGATAACTTACTCCGTTTCCAAGCAATCGATAAAAATCGATATGGATATCCTGTTTTTGGGGCAATTTTGGTAAATAATAAGAGCTAGAGTCACCAATCTTGACATATAGCTTCTAAAATAGAATATATATATGCATTTGATTTTGGAAGAAGAGGGTTCAGGGTATCCCCTAGTCGTGAGCTCCCGACTAGAGACGACAGCAAGTAATGCGGTCAGTTGCGAGTTCGACCCCTGCCAAGGGAACTTTTTTTTTTAATTTATTTGCTGTAAGAGGGTTCAGGCAAAGACAATATAAACGCTAAGATGAGTAACACCATACAACATACTATGCAGCTTGATTTTTTGAAAATTGAGAACGAAAACGAAATCGGTAGCAAATCAAAAGCTAAAAATAGAATGTGCTCTCAGCTTCGGCTCTATGAGGGCCGTGCAAGCAATTATGTTTGTATGCGTGTGAATATAAATTAGGTTTTAAATAATAAGTCCTCGCGGATTATTTTGATAGAACTTTATTTTAATAATGATTTATAAAACACTAGGCCGACACGCCGTAGTGAGTGAGTTCAATTATACCTGAAGTCGCTGGGCCGATGTGCCGCAGTGAAAGTCGAATTCAAAACTAAATTTACAAAAGATTGATCAAAAATACCTAAGCTATTGTGTGCTTTCACAACGGCCGCTAGAAGGCTTAGCTTGCGCCTCGTGCGCTGCCGTCGTGCAGGAACATCCGGCCCAGAGCTATGTCAGCATCTGCGGCTGGTGTTATGTTGCATTTTGCTGACCCCTGTTAGCTCGTAAGAACATCCGACTCAGTGCTATATCAGCATCTGGAGCTGGTGTCGTTGGCCTCTGTTAACTGCTCCCCTTTTAAGTTAAGGCCGCCCTCGGCCGTTCCTATCTCGGCAATCACCTTCTCTATCTCCATTGCCGATGCCATTTTTGTGGTGAACCGACGGTAGGTAACTCCGACTGCGTCATCGATCCATGTGATCGGGTCTAAGTGACTCGGCTGCTTTTGGCAGTTTGCCAAGCCACCAGCATGCAGCTCTCTGGCACAAGAACTGGTCGGTGAAAGTTGACAAAAGGTTCCTCCCGGCGTGGAAGTGCAATTCTTAAGGGCAAGCACTTGATCTCCGCACTCAGCTATAATGTTGTCGTCAATTTGTAGCACACCATTCTCATGTGCAACTGGATACAGCATCACCTTTCTGCAAGCCATTTTGATTTTCGGGAACTTAATGATAAAGTGAAGGGCATTAATAAATTGTAATACTTTCACGGACGCAACGGACATAAGGTCAGCTATTGGAGTACCTGTGGGTTCATCGACCCACACACATTTCTGCGTGATCTAATATATTTGGGCTTATGATATTAATTTTCGCAAGGGTAACAGCGAGCATCAAATTCTGCATTTCCATCAGCAACATTCTATTCCGAGCTAAAAGAGTTTCGTATAAATGCCCGGAATCTATCTGATTCTTTTTTGCAGCTTTTAGTAATGTGTTGACACTTGTAGTGAGTTGATTGATTTGTTCCTGAACTTTTGTGTTGATAGCTACCTGTCGGTTGTTAGAGTTCACCAACTGTAACTCAGTGAATTTGATCTTCTCGAAGTCACTGGCGTCAGGTGTTCCCGCAACTACTTTGAAAGCTACTACACAACTACCAAGAAATCTAAACTTCTTGCCACCCTGTGGTGCACGCCAAGAGCTTCTAACAGATCTCTGAGTTGGGACGCATCTACGCTTAGAAGCTTTCTCATGTGTGACTGCGGAAACATTTCACATAGCTCCATTGTTTCGTTTACCATTTTCTCGTACTCAGAGATGTTTGCTGTGTGCCTGACGAAATTGAATTCCTCCCAGACCAGAACTTGGCCCTCAACAATGGGAATATACTTGGCGTGTGAGTAATTAGTCACACGCGCTGCCGCATTTGCAAAAAATAGAAATAGCAGAAATCCGAACCTGCGGAAGACAGACAAAACGGACCAAACTATTACAACGTGTCTTCCTAAAGGAAATGCCAAGTGGCGTAAATATTAAAACTTGAAGGTGAAGCCTAGTGGCACAAATGTTGAAACTTATAGTTAAATTCAAGATGCATATAATCGATGTTTTATTTCAGCTCTCGCCCTACTTAAGGTTGTCCTTGTGGACCACCCTCCCTCCAATGAGAACGGTCGTACCAAGGTCTGCCTCTACGATCCGTTCTTCACTCTTGTGCACTTCTTAACTTTGCTGATATTTCCCTTTCGCGTTCGCCTGAGGGCACATGGAGGGCATCAACAGGTCTCTTGTTGATGACCGAATGTATTGTCTTGTTATACTCAATCGTGGCAAGCATTATGACTTCGACTGAATCACTGATGTTTCTCTCCAGCTTGAGACAACGTGCCAGCTCGGCTAGCGTGCTATGGAAGCGCTCGACTTGGCCATTGGAGGTGCTATGCAGCGGCGGCGCATTAACAATATGGAATCCATAGTTGTTTAACAACAGGGTCTTTATCGTTTGAGAATTCATCGAAGGCTCGTTGTCGCAATAAATTGTTCTGGCTCGTGGAAAGAAATTCGTCAGCTGCAGTAGTGGAGCTTTTAAATCCCCGATAGTGCGCGACTGAATTGGTTGTACGACTGCAAATTTAGAGAACTTAATACAACTACAACTTTCCGCAATTTCTTTAGCTAACTTCGCCATTTTAGGGAAATAATATTCTAATAACACTTGCTTAACACTTTCTTGAGCTGCTCTGTGCGCTCTATTATGTTTGGCAACGAGAATTTCTCTCCTCTCATCAACGTTGAAGACATCTGCAACTCGGATTTTGCAGTGCCAAAACTTTGTGTCTGGAAACATGCGAACTAAGCCATCCTTCACCTGTGCTAGTGTGTGCAGGTTGCAATAGAGGGATTTGACCGCATTTGAATTAATCAAGTCAAGCAGTTCATCTAAAAGGGCTGTGTGATCAGTGAAGCCCACTTCATGACGCTTCTTGTCCCCAAAAAAAATGAAGTTGCGTTTGATGGGGACGCGTGCCTCTTCAATGACAATTTGATTTTGGAAATAATTAAGTGCCTTTTCGGTCGACTCAATTGTATAGGTCAAGGACAGCCCGCTGTGGACTGTGGCTGCGCAGGAATCAGTATTCAGCTCGTCAAGAGTGTTGAGCTGTTGTCGCGATAGCGCATCATGCGCGTTTCCTCAATGCGCGTCTTCCATCTTTTAATTTTAGCGTTCGGGTTTGACTCAGAAACGGGAAAAGTTAACAGTTGGTGGTCCGTGAAAATGTTAATGTCTTTTACTCCATATAGGTAGTGACGTAGCTTGCTAAGGGCCC